CAGGACTGTCCTAACATGAAAATGAATGAGATATTATTGATCTAAGGAATTTTTATAAATAAAATACTATTATATTCTAAGAATACAGAATTTCAACATTTTAGTAAAAATTTAAATAAAAAGTAAAACTTAAAATGATTTTTCACATTTAAAAATATTAAATTCAAAATTACCTAGTAAAATAAGTCAAATAAATCATAATTAATATCAAATCTTGAAATAAAAGTGTTTAAAAACATAATTGTACAATATTGTCGAATGTTCTTAAGTAACCCACCCTGCTTGTGTTGAATTGGAAGTACTTCTCCAGAACTGCACATTGGAACAAGAAGAGAAATAACGTAGACTTTCATACTGTTAGGAAAGGAGACTTCTTCACAGTGAGCCCGTCTACTCCTGTACACTCCTGGGGTGGAATTGTGGGTCACAGGGAGATGCAGTATGTGCTCCGCTTCAGCCGATACTGCCCAAGAGTTCCCGAGTGGCTGGCTGCACCAGTTGACACTCCCCTTAGCAGTATAGGGACTTCTCAGAGGGTCACGTGGCATTTTCCATCATTTTCATTTTAGCCATTTTTGCAGGTGTGCGCAATACTGTTTTTATAACCAGCACATTATTTTTCTCTTCCTTTTTAAATTCAGCTTTTCTAGGCCCTCCACCCTTTGGGAAGGAGGAATGGGGCAGGGGATGGGGGGAGCTATCATCTCTGGGTGGTTGGTCAGCTGGGGTCTAACCACAGAGGCAGATAGACTGAGGCTATGCCAGGCAGAAGGACTTATCAGACACTTCTTGCCCTTCCTCATCTCTGCTGGTTCAAATCCTGCTCGCCCCGCAAGGACAGATTAGAATTTAGCTTCTCCAGAAATCCTGGCTTGACCCTATCCCCTCACCCCTCCTCCTCCTCTGGCCAGCTTTTGTCCTGACATTGGCGGACCAACGATGTGTGACACTGGGCAAATCATTACCCTCTCTGGGCCTATTTCCTCATCTGGAGAACATCTGCGCTTGAGCAACATAAGTCTAAGGTCCCTATATGATTTGATGTTTTGCGACCCATTTAAGACGCAGGACGCGAAAGGACAAAGTGTGCGTTCAAGTCGGTCGGCCGGGGTGTCACTCGTGTAAAACCCTATGGTTTTAAGGTTCTCGTGCGTCTCGGCCTGCAGGTTTCGCTCGGAGCTGTGTCCTTGAACGTCCATCCTGCTGGGGTGGCTTGACGCACTTCTGTGCAAATGTGTTCGCCCGCAGCTCTACCTCTTGCCCATGGCGGAGAAAAACCTCAGCGGGGTCCTTCCGGGTTGTGTGTCGAATCTGCTGCGGCGAACCAGCGCCACATAGCGGCGTGGAGAATGTGCGGCTGCGCGCGCGCCGCGGCGTTTACGCGGCGATTTCATCATGCTACGGGCCGGGCCGCGAGCGCTGCTTCCGTCGCCACCCTCTCTGGACCTCCCAGGGCCGCCGGCTCATGCCCTCTCCGAGCTCAGCGCTGCTTAGAGCTGCCCACGCCAGTCTGCTGCTGCTGCTGCCGCCCCGGCTCTCGGCCCGACCCTCGCTCCCGCTCCGCCGGTCCTTCAGCGCGCCCTCTCGCGCCACAGTCTCCTTCCCCGCCGCCGCCTCCCAGAGCAGCATGGACGGCGCGGGGGCTGAGGAGGTGCTGGCACCTCTCAGGCTAGCCGTGCGCCAGCAGGTACCGGTGTTTTGCGCCCTCCGCTCAACCCCAGGCTTTCCTCCCAGGGCCCTCTCCTGGCCATCCTTCCCTTCTCCCCTGGGAACCGTCCTCCTCTTCGGTTACCCCTTTCTTTCCCTTCATCCTCTGGCGTCCTCTTCGCTTCCCCCACTTTGGTCCCAAGTCCCCCGCTCATCAAGTCCCAAGTCCTCCCGCGGACCCCCGTCCTCCCCTCTTTTTGGATGATTCCCTGTAACCCCTCTGACTTTCTGCGTCCGTTTCCTGATCTGTTCTCCCTTCCCCATTCTGTCACAGCCCGCGTCTCTTCTATTTCCAGTGGGGCTGGGATCTGTGACCCTTTGGTTCTCCTTGCCTCCTAACTGAATAACCTTAACTTCAGTTTTCCGGGCTCTGCTGTACTCTTTGTGCACCCTGGGTGGAAAGGTTCCTAATTCTTTCCGTGGTCAGTGATGAGCCGAAGCTGCCGGTTCTTTCGTCTTACAGCCAGGCCCTTTAATCTTCAGGATGCTTTGAATAGTGTTGCCTCCTTTACATCTTCCTTCATTCAGTGCTTAGTTTAGCTGAGGATTGGCTGAGAAAATAGAGTTGAAACGTAGATGTGGGGAGGTGTCGAACTTTTTTATTAATGTTGTGAACTCATCATCCTTTGCTCTTGTCATCGTTTCTGGCTTCTGAAAAGGCCATTTGGAACCAGTGAGCTCTCTGATCGTAAACCTGGGATACTAAATGTTGCGGAGTTACTCGGTGAAGTCAGCCATCCTTCGTATGGAATATTTTGAAATTTGATTTTCCTGAAGGGTAGGGAGGTTTCATGGGCTGGAGGACTTGGTGATTTAATAACCTCCTTTTCCTAGGGCACTGCATGGAGAATCGAATTTAGAGAGGGCAAGGAAAACATTATTTCAGATGATTCTCCTAGCCAATTAGGGAGAGCCCAGAAGCTTTCAGTAGGACCCTGGAGATCGATGACCTAGTAGTAAACACCAAACGAGTTTCTCCTGCATGGGCGCCTGATGCAATAATTTGCCTTAGCTACGGAGGGTGGAACCCTCTCTCGGAAGTAATTCATTGGGGCAAAGCTGCCTCAAATTCAGCAAATTCTGCCGCTTTTCCATCTGCCCTCTTCACTGGTTTGAGCCTGACCCATTTAATAAATAGCCTTTCATTTTGAAATATGAAAATTTCAAAATGAAATTTTAAAAAAAGTTAAACCACGGGCTTAACTTTTTTCTTCATTTTTGGTGTCAGAACATCGATTGCATATTCTGCCTCCCTCCACCCACCTTCCACTCCACAATTAAAATTAGGTGTGGTTCGTTTTTTCTGTAACTTGCCATTTTTTAAACTATCCTTCCCTTTAGAAGGGAGCATATATCTAATTTGGGGAAAAAAAGCACACACACACACAGACACACACACACCCCTCCCTCTGCCACACATACACACACACACACACACCCACACACCCCTCCCTCTGCCACGTTAGCCTGGAACTGCAGTGCAAATCATCCATCGGTAGTTAAGACTGGATCTAGTTAACTGAAGTAATCTTTCCAGTGCAACTACTGTCTTGTGTATTGCTTATGTTGTCTTGATTATTAGTTGTTTTGTACTTTAAGATATTTTCTGAATATGTGAATTAATTGATATAAGTTAGTTTAGGTATTTTTTCTAATTTTCCAGGAACACACATATATTAGTTAATTGTGCGAATTACTGAGTCCGATGTCAGCTGAAAGATAATTTAAAGATGATTTAATTATATCCCTTTTTTGTATATGGGAAAATGAGGCACACTGTCACCCCTGTCCATTTTGCATATTTCCATTGTGAAGTGCAATTGAAAATCTTTCAGAGTGGGATTTTTACTTAAGACTGATCTTGTTAATAACACGTTTCATAGAAATTTGTTAATCTGGAAAATGAATGAAGTGAGCTTGTCACTTTAAGAAAACAATGGTTAGTATTTGTGGCCAATAGTAAAATTCAAACTTTAGGAAATTTTAGAATATTGGAAAACTCGTATATTTTGCTGTGAGCTTGGCAGTTTCATAGTCCTTAAAGGTATTTCTGATGAGATGAGTGGTTATACAAACGTGAATTTTTTTTTTTTTTTTTTAAAGTATTTGGACAATCTGCACTCAGTGAACCAATGTTTTCCGAGTGACCAATGCATGATGTTATGAAATCAGGTACTGGTGAAAGAGCCATTCAAAGCTAAAGATACATTAACAGATTTATTGTAACAGAGTACGAAAAATTCATTGCTATAGTTTCTGAGTTAAAAATAACCTTGAAAAAACTACCACTTGTCGGAATTTTGATGCAGTGTCAAAGAATATCCACAGTTATCCAAACGGCTTTTAAAATTATTTTTCCTTTAACAACTATGTATGATTTTCTTCATGTACTTTACCCAGACCATCATATTGCAAAAGAAGCAGACTTTCCACATTGGTCTTCTAGGATTTTTCACAGATTAAGGTTACCAAAATAGTAAGTGCTAAACTCAAAATTAAAAAACCCCTGAGGAGACAAGCCACCTTGAGTGAGACTCAGGGTAAATGATAATAGAATTAGATCCTCCAAAAGTAATAGAATAATCACATGTTTTTTAAATGCTTAAGATAATTTTATAAAAGAAGGACTCAAAAACATGAGCAGAGAACAAGAATACCAAAAACAATCAGGCAGTGTGAAAGTGAACCACATATTATGTGGAAATGGATTAGTGAAATCAAAAACTCTGTTGGGTGCCCAAAGACACTGTCAACAGCTTCAATTACTCAGCTGAGAGCTTTTCATCCAATATAGGTAATGTTTTGTTTGTTTTCTCAGATGATCTAGTTCACCATATTGTTGTAAATATGAAGTCAGTATAGGTTGGAATTAGTAAAATAATTCAGTATTATTAGCAAGGAAAAAAATCCAACTATAAAGAGACATTTAAAGGAAGATGAGCCAGCAGTGACTGAGAAGAATGGTCAGAGAAGTAGGAGGAAAACTGAGTAATTTTTTTTTTTTTTTTGGTAATCAAGAGGAGAGAGATTTAAGAGGGTGGTCAATTTATTGGTTCTTCTGTGTTCTCAGTACAAGTCTTGCTTTTTTCCTACTTTTTAATCGATGCTTTTCCTCTCCTCCCTTTTCACCTCTCTATACCCAAAGGAAAAAAAAATTCACCATGTGAGAGTAGTTAATTGTTAATTTGCCTGTATGTTCTTCTAGATTATGAATGAAGAGGGCAGAGACCTTCATTCATGATGATCTCTCACATAATAAGCATTTGAATTGCATCATTCTTTTTTGGGGGGGTGGGAGAAAATTAAACCTTATTTATTTTTAAAACCAAACCCTGGGAGAATATATCACAGCCTGGAAACAGCAAATGGACAGGCTATGTTATTATTTCAAGTAATTTAAGCTGGTGAAAATACAGTGAGGTTGCTATCAAAACACTAAGGTGTCATGCAGGGCCAGGAGCATTGCAAGTTGTGAAAGCCCCAAGCAAAAATGTTATCTGGTAGTGGGGGCTGCCTCTCCTTTGCTCTAAGGGAGTCAGCTCATCCTAGCCTAAGTTGCTTACTTTTTCTCCCTTGAATTTCCTGCTGTCAGGGGTTTGTCTCAGTTGGGCCCTGTTAATTCAGGGGACTAAGTAGGCAATGCTGGGTTTAGGCTTTCATTCCATCTGTCCTATAAAAACCACATTTTCCAAATCCAGTACTTCATAACTCTGTTATAATCAAGTAGCCAACTGCTCCTCTTTTACTGTGCATTCATTCTACTATATATCACAATCAAAACCCCTTTCTCTTCAAGGGGAAAGCGTTATTGCAAGATTGTCCTGTCATTTTGTTACACACAGCCTCAGGGACCATCAGCCAGTAATTATGCAAATTAACCATAATTAGTGTGTCGTCACCTCTCATGTTTTTGTGTGGTCTTCAGACTGAAAGGTGCAGCATGTAATGATTTTAAGAAATGTGCATCCACAACTTGATGACTAGAAATAGGGATCTACGAGGAACCTTTCAAAGGTTTTATCCAAACTAGTCTTGCTCCCAATTCCACATCTTAAAATTAACTTGTATGCCTCTGTATAAATGACACAAAACCAAGAAAACAAAGACCCAGAAAACTTTTTTTTCCCCTCTAAGTGACCTCATGGATTTTGTTTCACAGCTTATGGAAAATGGTATGGTGACACTTCTGGTAAACAGGATGTTGGCAACAAAGAGAAAGTATCTCTCCTCAAACTCCACCAACTCTAACCTGCCAGCCTGTTGGTTCCTGTGTAGTAAGAAGAGTCTGGTACCTTGGAGGGCTCTGGCTTGTTACAGGGGAGATCCTTACTGCCAGGACAAGCTCTGGCCACAGGAAATATAAGCTCTAAAACTCTCTTGTGATATCTCTGACCCAATTTAGCAGCACTTTTTTTTCCATTTCATTTTTTAGGACTGAAACAAAAGAACTTGTGTCCGGAGGCAAGTGACATATGCCTTACACTTGTGGCCATCCTTAATTTCTTCATTCATAAACTTTGCCTAAAAGACTAAAATTCCCAATTCCTTATAAAAAATATGTTCTTGCCCTCAGCCCGGATGGGCACTGGCAAAGACTTTTATTTCCCATTGGATAAGAGAACCTCGTTCATCTTCTTGGTCATAGTTGGGATAAGGTGCATGTGGTCATCTACACACTTGGTCACACAACCGTCCAGCTGCTGCTTCACCTGAAGTTCTTTACTCCCAGCATCCATTGAATCTTTGGCTTTGTTGTTGCAATGCATGGTGCACTGGGCCAGGTGGTCCTGGAACTTCTCCAGCTCACTGGTGACCAAAGCCTGTGCTTGACCCAGAGGCACATGGCAGTGCTTGATACACTGGTGCACCTGCTGCATGGAGGCCTGGCTGTTCTCACAACAGCTGGCGCTGCACCGGAACATGACACTCTGCATCTTCTGGATATTCTGTGTCTAGACTCTTATTGAGTCCACCCCTCCTGTATCTGCAGCTGCTGCAGCTCCACCATGGCAACCCTGCGCTGCCCCGAGCCATACCATGCGGGCACCCATGAGCTCTTTTTTTTTCTTTTTCAGACAGGCTGGAATGCAGTGGTGTGAGCCTGGCTCGCTGCACCCCCTGCCTTCTGGGTTCAAATTATCCTCCTGCCTCAGCCTCCCGAGTAGCTGGGATTACAGATGTCCGCCACCGTGCCCGGCTAATTTTTGTATTTTAAGTAGAGACAGAGTATCAACATTTTGGCCAGGCTTGTCTTGACCTGACCTCTGGTGATCCACCTGCCTCCGCCATCCATAGTGCTGGTATTACAGGCGTGAGCCATCATGCTCTGCCTGAATTATATCATTCTTACATAGTCTTTTTAAAAGGCATCCTTAAAAACATATTCCTAACATTTCTTGACTTCTGAAACCAATCCTGAATATAAATTCTCTTTGTTGGCTAGGGAGATCTTGTGCGAAAACTCAAAGAAGATAAAGCACCCCAAGTAGATGTAGACAAAGCAGTGGCTGAGCTCAAAGCCCGGAAGAGGGTTCTGGAAGCAAAGGTGAGTCCTGGGATGCTAAAATAGGAACATACATGGGTATAGTATTGTTCATCTTTAATTTCTTTGGATGGGAGAGACCTAGAAAAGTTTCTCAAGAAGTATCATTTGGTTTATCTGTTTATCCCTCTACCTAGTATAGTAGACTCTTCATTCTTTCAAAATGCAACTCAGAATGTCAACTTTTTAATAAAGCCTTCCTGACCCCACAAATCCTGGACTCAATATGCTACATGAATTTTCATGGAAAGGATTGTGCTCTTCTTTATGACTGCTCTTGTGCCTGGATATAATTATTATTATTATTTTTTTGGTTTGTTTTAAGGAAAAGGTCTGTTTATTTTATACCTGCTCCCAGACCTTTCAAACAATAGATCTCCCATCACCAAACTTAAATTGTTTGGAGTTTTAAAGTAACCGTTTTGCTATCGCAATTCACTAAAATTAAGATATTGCCTATATTGCTTATCATTATCTGCATTGAAGTAAACTTAGTCTTGTCTTTTTTTTGGAGGCAGAGTCTCGCTCTTTAGCCCAGGCTGGAGTGTAATGGCGCAATCTTGGCTCACTGCAAACTCTGCCTTCCAGGTTCAAGTGATTCTCCTGCCTCAGCCTCCAAAGTAGCTGGGATTACAGGCACATGCCACCACGAATGACTAATTTTTGTATTTTTAGTAGAGACTGGGTTTTGCCATGTTGGCCAAGCTGGTCTTGAACCCTGACCTCAGGTGATCCACTGGCTTCAGCCTCCCAAAGTGCTGGGATTACAGGTGTGAGCCATTGCACCTGGGTTAGCTTAGTCTTAGAATCTTGGAAATGATTGTATGTTTTCCTAAAGGATTAAATAAAGGCATCTTTTATATTACTCAAAGGGAAAAACACACCTACGGCTTTTATTGTTTTTAACCTATCAAAATCTTGTCTGTTTGATAAATTTTATATTTAATTCTGCTGAGGAATAAACTAAATTCAGATATATAAGTTCAAATTCCCACCCGCCCCTCCAGTCACTCACTTTTTATTTAATCTCTAACAGGAGCTGGCATTACAGCCCAAAGATGATATTGTAGACCGAGCAAAAATGGAAGATACCCTGAAGAGGAGGTTTTTCTATGATCAAGCTTTTGCTATTTATGGAGGTAAGGGATTAATGACAAAAGAAATTGTTATGTTGTTAGTGACTCTAGTATTATACTTAAATCAAGAACATGGCTTGGTCTGTTGGTATCCACTTGTATCAGGCCACAAAACAGAGGATAGAAGTCTTGCTTTTGTTCACTTGGAGTCACCATTTGGTGTAATACTGTTATTTTTCTCCACTGTATTTATTCTTGGAGAGCACTATTTTCTATTAGGATGTAGGGAGTTGTTGGAGGCCCATGTATGTATTTGATGTGTCTGTGTACTCAGGTACTCTTTTTAAAATGCAATGGAGACTGAGGAGCAACAGAGGGCCCTTGTAGTACTGGCTAACTATACAGTGCCCCTTCATGCAGGGGCAGTGATAAAACAGCCCTTAGATTATTCTTTATGGTCATATACCAGGAAAAAACATTCTTCACAGGGATGTAGGTAAATCACTCTGAATGCCATTATGAAGGTATATAGGCAAATATAATTCACTGATGAAATTTAAAATTATATTTTTCATAGTCAACAGATTATTACAACGTTAGACATACAGTATTTTGCCTCTGAAAGTTGACTTGAGTTTGGCTAAGCAGATCTGTAAATGTTTACCCTTTTGAGTTTAAATAGTGCCTCAAATATCCAGGAATAGAGAACCGGATGCTAAAATTATAGATCATTGTTATCAGATGCTGTGAAAAATTATTTTCTAATTTTTATGGCAGAGAACTATAATCTGCTTTTTCATTCTGTTTCTTATATAAGGGGGAATTTCTTTTGTTGTAAATTTTGGGCTAGTCCTACTTGCAATTACAAACATGGAAATAGTAAGTGGCGTAAAAGCTTTTTTATTTTACTTCCATCAGCTAGCCGAAAGTAAGGCTCTTCAGTATTGAGGGATTTGAATTGTTGACTTGAATACACTTTTAGGGAGTATGTGAAGTCTTATAGATATCAGTTTCTCATGTCTCCTTGCCTTCATTTGTTCAGCGTAACAAGTTAAAGTACATGTTTTCCTCTTATATTCTATAGGTGTTAGTGGTCTGTATGACTTTGGGCCAGTTGGATGTGCTTTGAAGAACAATATTATTCAGGCCTGGAGGCAGCACTTTATCCAAGAGGAACAGATCCTGGAGATTGATTGCACCATGCTCACCCCTGAGCCAGTTTTAAAGTAAGATCCTACTTTGGAGTGGAGGGAATCCTATTTTAAATAAAACAACTTATTAAATGATTTAATATTCTCTCCTAAATAACTTCCTGATTGTAAAGAACTACCCATGTTCATGTAGAAAATCTGGATAATACAGAAAAACAAAGAAATACATACCTCCTGCTCACAGATAGCCATGTTAAGATGATTGTGTTTGTCCTTCCAATCTTCTTTTTCTTTATGTCCCCATGTATTTCAGTGTTAGCAGTACACTGCTTATTTTCATGTAATATAGATGAATATATACTCATGTTATTACCTATTCATCTAAAGCATTTTTAATGACATCATAGTATTCTGTTTTATGGAAGTGCCATAATATGTTAGTTTGTGCCATGTTGAAAGCATTAAGGCGCTTCTCCTTTTTGACTGCACTGAATATCTTGATAGATGGATTTTTATGTATATCCTTGATTATTTCCTTAATATAAGTTTTTAAAAGTTCTGAGCAAAGGTGTATTTGGAGACATTTTCAAGTAAATACTTTACTGCTTGTATTGTAGTTTCAATGCAGAAACTTAGATTATTCCTGCCAACATTACTGAAAGTTGGGCAGAATTTCTTGAATGTAAAACTGAAAGAATTCTTGCCATTTTGTGTCTCATCATTATTCATTTAAGGTTGCCTGGTGGAGAGCTAATTTTTACTGTTGGCATCCATTAGGTTCTCTTAATAATTTCAGCCAATTAAGATGAGGAATTCCAGATGATGACTCTATAAGATCAGGACTATCTATCCTTTTAGCTACTTGTTCACCTATAGGAACTTTGTAGAGGTAATACCAGTGTCAGTGCAGGTTTCAGTGGCAGAAAACAATTTGCTTAAGGTTCAGTGTCTGTACTGAGTTGCTGTGAATTCTTAGCTAATCAAATTCGCAATTATTTTCGCCTTTGCTAAATCACTAATAATAATGGCATAGGCATGAATTAATTGACCCTGAAGGATAGTACAGACTTGATGATAACTTGTGAAAAAGAATTGTCTTTCTAATGTCTAGTTAATGTCTTTTTTCTTATGGGAAGGAAGAATGTGGGAGAGGGTGAGAAATAGATTTGAGGAAGAATTTTCTCTGGCATACATTACAATGTGTCATGGATACATCATTACTGTAGATATGGGAGCTTCCATCTTTGAGATACACAGATATAAACATTGAAGGGGAATTATCTTATAAGGTTCTATCTATGTATAACTTGTATGAGAATGACAAATTGGTTTGGCGTTTGTTAATCTAGGACCTCTGGCCATGTAGACAAATTTGCTGACTTCATGGTGAAAGATGTGAAAAATGGAGAATGTTTTCGTGCTGACCATCTATTAAAAGGTGAGATTCTTCATCTCCTTCAGGTGGGATTGATTAAAATAAAAGGTTTAAACTTTTCTCTCAGATGTTTTCCATTAAATTTTTTATTGAGGCATAACATTCAAAGCGTAAAGTGCACAGATCTTAAGTATCTAGATCAGTCTCTTTATTTTTTAAAACAGTTATATGTAGTATAGATAGTTATATACAGATAATTTTTCTAATTAGCAAATGAATCAAGACAATACCATGAGCGCTGCTGTAAAAATTAACTGTGGGATTCATATAAATTAAGAACATTATCCTTGGATTTACTTTTTAATTGTCTAGCATTGAAACTGAAAAGTGCATTGTCCTTTTTCAAATTGATTGACATATGTCAACACCGTTCTTATAGCTCATTTACAGAAATTGATGTCTGATAAGAAGTGTTCTGCTGAAAAGAAATCAGAGATGGAAAGTGTTTTGGCCCAGGTGAGTACTTTAGAGATGTTATCAGAGTAATCTAAGTGGTCTCCGGACTTCTTTCAGTGTTTAATGACTTGCATTCCCTATTCTGCTGACCCTGGCCACAATTGTAAAGAAGCAGAGGTTAATTCTGTCCTTTATAGCAGCTCTTTTTTTGCATTTTTATTTTCTTCTCTCTTTTGCGACTCTTTATTTCAGCCAAAATTAACAAGTCAGTGTAAACAGGCATTAAATTTGTCTGTTCTTGGAAACTAGTTTTCTGGATTTAATAGCTAAAACCACAGGAGTGACTGATGATGGATCGTGTTCAGTGCTGGTGTGGAGATTTCACAGCAGATAACTTGATGAACACTT